CGTCTGTCTTGCCTTTTCTCTGAGTGCAGTGTGTCGGCCAAATCTGTCTGGTCACACCCAGGTGCATCATTCTCTCCAGCCTATTATAATCTAGTTTCTTTTCTGACTTTGTTACTTGTTCTCAAAGGGCTCTGACTACATCTGCCTTGTCATGTATCAATTCACCACCCAGCAGTGCAGATCCAGCCAATCTGTCTGTCTGTTCATTCCTCACCACGACGGCATGGCCTGGAGAAGAGATCCAAAGTATGCTCACTACCCGTGACCTTGCAAGTGAAGCTTGCCACTCTGTTCGAAGCAATCCTGTTTTCATCTTTCTCAGCATGCTTTCAGAGTCCGTTACAGTTATGTCATGTGTATGTATCTTGTTTTCTAGCCACCAGCAAGCTGCAGTGACCACCTTCATTCTCATACTAGATGTTGTGGTATCATATGCCAGGCTGTCCTGCACTAAATATTTGCAATGGCTTTAGCTACGAAACCCCAGGCACTTCTCTTCCCTCTCTTACTTACTTACTTAGTCGCTCCTCTTCTACCTTGGGGTGTAGAGGTTTGCCAGAGAGATCGCCAGACGTCTCTATCATCAGTTTTCTTTCTGGCTTTGTTCCATTCCAGTCCTCTGTCAGTTAGGGACTGTCGGATGTTGTCTTTCCAGCGCACCCTGGGTCATCCTGGAGGTCTGGTTCTCTTGTTCTTAGCCTCCCATGCCTGCCATGGTGGCCGATTTTCTCCCATTCTGCATACATGTCCAAACCATCGTAACTGTGACTGATCCACTAGGGTCTCTTCCTTCTCAATACAGATAACATCAGGAATCCTTTCTCGTGTTTTAAATCGCAGTCATTCACCACGTGTAGAGGGTTTGGGGCACTAGCCTTTGTTGAGAGTCAGCATCTCAACGGGCTCTCGTGTTGGTGACCATCATAAGTTTTTCTAAGATGTTCAAAAATGTTATCACTGAATAAGTGGACACAAGGTATTGTAGAGGCACATTCTTCTTTGGACAATATGTCAAGCAACAACACAGGAAGATGTTCCAAGGTCTTGGCTGGTGTATGTGTGGTCAACATCTTGTGACCTCTGAATTCACAGAAGTATATTACACATACAGTATCCTGAACGTAAGAAGATAACTTGCTACACTCTCTGGTCATACCTTAATTGTGATGATAATTATTTATATATTACACTACAGTGCATGGCAGCCTCCATAATGCAATGGCTACACGCTCACAGGTTCAGGTCCTGATGGAGCCGGACTTTTTTCAAAACTGACAAATGGCTCCCAAGTCGAAACAGCCTTAACTCTTTAAAGATGTACTGCCAGTATACTAGCAAATAAGTGTATCCCTAATGGACGAATCGCCAGTATATTGGCGTATGATAGAGACACTCTAATTTTGTTCTGTTTGTGGGGAAAACAAACTTTTATGCACAAGTTTTTGAACAATTAGGAATAACAATAGAAAGTCCTTTCGTTTGCAAAGTTCACTGTGGTCGGTGCATTATTTTCAGATTTAAAAAAAAACAGTACTTAGATGGGATACAATTTTTACATAATTTTTCTATATTAAATGATAAAGGAAAAGGTCTAGAACTGTTTATACTGCTCTGTCGTTGATGAATCTCTGCCAGATGGTGACAACAGTCTTTATATATGATTGATATCTAAGTGAAAAACCTACTGGCGATAATTTAGTTTAGAATATGAAAATTGAACAAAATAATTCAAAATGTTTTGATCAGCCATTTTGCCGATTTTTGATAGTTGAAAAATTTGATATGTCATACACAAATGATCATAACATCCAAAGTATTGAAATTAAATGTTTCAAATAGACTCGCTGATACATCATTGAACAGAGAAGGTATGTGCATTCTTAGAATTGGATAGCGGTGTTGTTAAGGTAAGCACACACATTTTTATGTCAATAATCTTCGTATGTGTCTAACATCCTTGAATGTTGTGTGATTTTAATAATATTTGTTGTAATACTGACATTTAAATAGTTTAGATTTATTTTGCACTCATTTATCTTTAATTTGATATATTATATATCCCCAATACAGCCAATAACTTTTCTTCAGGAAGGTTTTAGCTTTTATGTGTTGCAGTAAAAAAATTCAGCTCAAAATTAATGCTGTCCAAAACCCCAGAAAAAATGTGGTCCTGAAAGAGTTAAAAAGGTACCAGGTCCTAGGAAGTAAAGGCGGTCAGCATGATCTTAACCACATCACCCATCGAGTGCCAACAGGTTCATAAAATATAGGTCATATATGCCCAATATGTCTGACGACATGGAAAAGGGTTCTCAACACACAGCACACATGTAAACACACCAATTTGTATGATCTCAATCTCACATTGTAACAACAGACCTGACAAGCACACAAGTATAAGTACTCACCAACAGATTATACCAACTGCTATGAAAAGCACAAAGGGTAAAGCGACTAGCCCCAATACATTTTCACTAGCTGAAATTTAAAACAAGAATGACAAAATTATATACTTATTTGGACAAAAGGTTAAATTTTGAGTAGCCTAAAACTTCTGATAACATGGTAAAAATATGGCTGTCTATTTTTGATGTTTGTGATAAAGCTGTTTTCAGATTTTTGCATCTTTCGAAACATCTGGATCACTCATTTTGGATTTTCGGGGAATTGAAAGTATTTTGAACGTATATTATTCACTGGGTTGTGTGGATAAAACCACCTATGGTTCAATGGATGAAGAGGCATCTAACAGCATGGTTTGTGGAGAGTCTTGAGCATTGCAAGGCACAAAAGCTGCCCTGGTCATCCACTGCAGCCGGACTTATCTCTAGGTGTTTCTTTTCGTTTTGCCACTGGACTTGGATGGATACAGGTGAGAGAATGAGATAACAACTGTTCTCCCCTATAATCTAATTTATAGTGCAAGTTATCCTTTCATCTACTGTGCCAGGAATGACCTTATCAGCTACCTGGACATTCATAGACCTTCCTTTGTCTAGGAGATGATAGCACTGGTCTCAATAGGTATGACAGATGATAACATAATGAAATAGTATTATTCTGTGTGAGCCTGAAAGAAGGATATAAGATTCCCAGAAGCAGTGGTCTAAACTGAATTTATTTCCTTGTATCAGGGTAGGTCAGAAGTGTCCTATACACAACTGGGTGGTTGTAGAATTATCATCACAGGATTCATTTTGCTGTAAGCATGAAATCTGAACAATAAGCAGACCAACCTGAGAACTTCTTATGGCTGCAGCGTAGCAGATATTTTTTTTATTAAGAATGCACAAAATATCATGGACAGATTCACTGATGAGAAACTGCCCTGTGGCTTAACCATGGTACTTTAACAGCCCAATGATGCCTACTCCATCTACTGATGGATTCTCTACAACAACAGTTTCAGACCCAGCTTGTCAGCTGTTCCATAAGAAGCAGAGAAACCAAGATATTTAAAAGAGCAATTAGATAAAGGGGTTCGAATTCTAAATCTTTTGAACCTTGAGGCAATTTTCCCACTAAAAATAATGGAAACTAAATCTGTTCCAGGATCAAAGCAACTCAAATTCAAAAACGTATTTTCCTTAATACAGTTTACTGTGAATATAGCAGCCAATGATGACCATAGTTTTAAAAAAACATAATAATTAATTAACAAACAAACAAAAAACAAAAAGATTAAAACACTGTATTTAGTGTACCTTGATGAAAATGATAAAATAGCATAATAAACTCGGGGGAGGAAGGGGAGATTTAGGGAGATTATTGTCATGACATTAGAAATCCTTTCTAGTGTTTCATATTGTTGTTTTTCACCACCTGTAGCGAGTTTGGAGTCACTAGTTTTTGTTGAGAGCCAGCATTCCAATTTGCTCTGATGCTGGCGACCATTTTAAATTTCTTGTTGAATGTTCGATGTTATAATTCTGTTTACTAGGGCTATATCAGGCTGCCACCTCTCAACAACTTCATGAGTTTTCGGCCACAAGGTCAAAAGTAGGTGGTGCTGTGTGGTACCACAGAACTGGCCTGTGCCAAGTGTTCTATTTCCAATGGAGCCTTCAAGCTCCAAGACAAAAGGTAGTTGAAACATGTGTTCACATTCCAAGTTGTATCAATTTGAAGCCAGAAATATTCCTGGGTACCACTGTACAAACAGTCAAGAACAATTCGGCATTTCAACGATATGGTATTTAATAGGTATAGTTATGTTTACCACAGTTAGGGTATGGGATTACTCACAGATCAGACCTTAGATTTTCTGTGCCTGACAAGACAAAAATTACATATTGTTGGTTTCTTTCCGTAATGTCAACTCAGTTGACATATTTTTTTTTAAGCAAATGCAAAAAGTTGGGAAGGAACTGTTAAAAAACACAAGTCCATCACAGTTAAAAAAGAGGCTGCTGGGTTGGCCATATTTTTTTAGTATGCTTTTGAAAAAGTCAAAGAACTTATTATGCAAAAGTAGAGATTCAATGGGGGGTTAGAATCACATTTCATGTATTGCTTGGGAGATTAGTAAAAGTAATTTCAAGTGGCTGCTGCATCAGAGGACTGAGCATGCATGGGAATGCTCAATGTGCAGTGACGTTGATTGTGATAACATAACATAACATAACATAATATAGCTTGGAAGTAAAGTTAAGAAAAAAAGTAAAGGACTCTTGTCCATGCCTTCAGGCGTATTGGGTATATAGGGCTAGTCCTATATTTTATAGATCAAATGGCACTTGGTGGGTGATGTGGTCAGCATCACGCTGGCCAACTTTACTTCCTAGGACTGTACCTGGTACCCACTCAAGGCTGGGTCTACCTAGGAGCCAAAGTAATTAGAGAATCTTATTATTGTATTATTTTATTCTAACATATTGTGCTTCAGTTTTCTACCTACAGGTTCAACCAAAACTGAAAACTGATGCAGTCACCCCTATATTTTCAACCAAAACTAAAAAATGTACAAGAATATGTAATAGTACATGAGACTGAACGCAAACCTGCTGCATGTGGACTTGCCACCTTCCAAGGTTGAAATTCCTCTCCAGCATGTCCATTTACCACAGGCTGAACAGTGAGCTTGTAATTCGCTGGAGTTGTTAATGATGATAGCATATAGGATGATTCAGGGGCAGGAACATATGTTTGGTAGACTTTATCTGTATCTGTTGATGGTGAAGTTATGGTGATCAATAAAACATACTTCAAACTTCAGCACTCCTTAAATGGTTAACTTGGTAATGTTTTTAATTCCAGACAGGTTTCCTCTTCTTCTTCTTCCTCTGATTTCTTCTTCTTCTTTTCTTCCACCATTTACCTCACTGAGGTGTTGAGGGGAGATGTAAGGATCGTTTGTGTATTTTTGTCCAATGCATTGTGCAAGTTGGTATTCATTTCTGTTAGGTTGCTCTTGATGATGTCGCTTCATCTCTTACGTGGTCTTCCCCTTGCTCTGTGTTCATTATATTTCTTCAGCATGGCACTCTGTGGCAGCTGGTACCAGGGCATTCTCGTCAGGTGGCCAAACCATCTCAGTTTTTGTTCTTTAATGAACTGTATGACTGGTTTCAGTCCTAGTCTTCTTCTATTTTTTGGCTATCTTCTGAATAACGGTCCCAAATTATAAACGCAGAAAATAATCCCTAACAGGGCCTCAGTCAGGTGTCAATTGCGCAGTTCCGTCATCTTGAAATGCGAGCTTCCGGCGACTTCCCCCGCCGCTGAATTGCAAACTTTCTGCAACCTCTGCCACCGCCGAGAGTACTCCCCAAGCCGCTCACGCGGCGTGGATTGGGGCTAAACTAGATGGCTGGGACTCACGAGCAGCAGCTACCGCATTTCCTGCAGCTGCCTTCATTTTATTTGCTAGTGGGTCCTAGCCATTTAGTTTAGCCCCAATCCATGCCGCGTGGCGGATGGCGCCGAAAGTTCGCAATTCGGCGGCGCCGGTATTGTCCCCGGAAGTACGCAATTGAAACGTCCTGTTAGGGATTATTGTCTGTGTAGATAATTAGGGATTGTTATTCGGAAGATAGCCATTTTTTCATTCCTTACTTTATCTCTACTTGTCACAGCTCTCCTAAGACATCTCATCTCTGTTGTTACGATCTTCCGCTCATTAGTTGTAGTAAGGGTCCATGTTTGGCACCGGTAGCACGTCAGCCAAAAAACTGTTCTTATGAGATTTGCTTTGGTTGACAGAGGCATCATTCTATGCGTTACAAGTGGTGTTAAATGTCACATAACCTGATTTGCTTTCGCACATCGTATGTTGATTTCTCTATCCATTCTTCTTTCTCTGTGAAAAAAGACCCTATATATTTAAATTTGCTTGTTTGTTTTTTTCTGCAATATTTACTTCAATTGATATGGTTTCTTGTTGTCTACCCATTACCACTCTTCCAAATTAGCATCTAAAAGGCAGTTGGGCTATTGTATTGTGGTTTACAGCTAAACTGTGACATCTGCATCTTTCAGTCCATCTCATCTGATTACACAAAGCCTTAATTAGTCTGCCTTCACAAAATGCTTGTTGAAGGGCTGTAGGTGTGCTCCCCCTTCCAAATGGGGCCGTGGAAACCACATGAGAAAGACAAACTTTTACATCCTACTATTAGCCACTGGTGTAACCAACATTTCAAACTGCTGTTAGTCAATTCCCATCTGACCTGACAAGTAGTGGGTTAACTCATCCTAGCCAAAATGTTTTCACACTGGAAAAAGGCAGAAACCCAGATGAACTGCCCCTCCCCCCCCCCCCTCCCCCGTAAATCCTTTATAAACTAACCATTTGACACTGGTCACTAAAAAGTTTTTAAAAAAAACATTTATTTATTTACATTAAACTTAAATCAGAAATATATTAGGGAAGTAATCATAAACATGAACAGAGTGAAGTAGTATATGGCATACATTCCCTGAGGCCACAAGAAAATGTATCAAGTGACTCATATGGTGACCTTGTGACCTTGTTTTAATTCTAACACCAAAGCTATGAGCAAATTATGACACCAAAATGGCGTTAAAATCCATTTTGCTAACAAGAAAAAACCATAATGGCTATTTTAGGTAAATATATTCATACTCTGGCCTCCTAAACATTTTGACAGAACTCAATGCCATTAACTAGGCTTCTCAGGAAAAGGCCTGTGGCAGAAATGCCAGTTAAGCAGCATTTACAGGATTGAGTCACAGTTGGAAATGCCAGGTTGGCAGCTTCTCGGGGCAACAGGGTTAAGGTGGCAGCAGTCTGGATCACAGAGAGTCAAGGACACTGTGTGATCTATTCAGCAGCCAGTACAAGTTTAGAGTGTTACCTGGTACAGAAAGAGTTGAATCCATGCATTTTAAACTTTAAAATTAGGATTATTTCTTAATGTCTTATTGGTGAAGAGGCAGGAAAAGAAGAAGATGATCAGAAAAGAAAAGAAAAAAAAAAGAATATGATAAGAAGAAAATAGATAAAGATGAAGCAGGAAGATTATAACAATTAAGCAGCAGTGGCTGCTACTACCACAGCAGGAGGAAAGATGTGTTGCAATACATAGGTTGGGGGGAGGGGGGGGGGAGGGGAATAAGGAAAACTGCAACACTGGCTAAAATTAAAATTTGCTACCAATTTAAAAAAAAAAAAACATAGTGTAATAAAAGTACATACAATTACAGTGGTGCTCCTCACACCATTTCACCAGGTAACCTGAAACCTTCACAGGATTCTGGTAGGAACATTGAATTGGATTCCAGGATACACGGACATATTCTGTGCCATTTTCCACAGACAATACATCCAGCTTCACGTGAGCTAGGGCTGAAATGAATAAAAGCTGACATAGAGAACTCTCTCTCTCTTGCTCTGTGTGTGTGTGTGTGTGAGACAGAGAGAGAGAGAAAGAGAGAGAGAGATGAAGTAGCAACAAACAGACCTACAGGTGATTCTATCTATCAGTTGTTATTACTGGTAACCAGAGAAAGGTTTTCTTCCCCATTGTTATTAGCAATAACTAGTGAGCCGTTTTGTTCTCCGTTATTATAAACAAAAATTGTTACAAAAGGTGAACTATCATTGCTTTCATTATGGCATCTGTACTTCTGCCTGTTTAAAGAGAGAAGGAATAAGGGCTCCAGGCCGAAGCACATGTCACACAGTGTACTGACTATCATTTTTCAGTTTTAAAAACCAAACCAGGTAAAAAGGTAAAGTCGGGAGATGTGAACCAGCGTCATTGCACATGATTATAAACCATAAGTGCTCTGCCACCAGTGCGGACAGCTGATAAGAATAGTCCGCCTGTGTCAACGTCCGCATTTAACTCTGTAGCTACAGTGAGGTTCCTCCATTTACCCCAGAGTGTCAACTCTGGTACCCATTTCCTAGAGGTTGGGTGAACCCCGGGAGCCGTCCGGTTTCGAAGCTGGATTTGAAAGCGAGCCTCTTATCGACTGAGCTAATGCGGCCCCTACCCCAACAGCCTTAATGTTGATCATGCATGTGTAAGATCATAATTCTGATCCCTCTGCTCCGCCATACTTTTCTTCTTCCTAGCGCTCGCAGCCTGTAAATTATAGTGGAAAGTTCTGGTGCTTCACCTACTTCTGGACTTGTAGCGTTGGCAGCCTGTAAATAATGGTGGAAAGTTCTGGTTCTTCACCTACTTCTGAACTTGCTCCAAAACTTGGGTTTTGCATGTACATTTGTTTTACAGATCTGGTTTATGTGTGTGCAGGCCGCTGGTTGCTCACCTCTCGGTCAGATGCACTTTGAAAGAAATGCCCCTGTAAGCTGCCTCCCATGACATGCTTACTGTGGTGGTGGTGGAAAAGAGGTGGAAGGGGGAGTGGATCTGTAATCTATTTTTCTCCGGAAACAGGGCGCAGGAAGCTATAATAAACAATACCAGTAATATCAGGATTAAACAGGAACAGTAATGATACTCACAACTGTGGAGACGGAACAAACACCCTGTCCAGAATATGCTTGTTGCTCCTCCTGTCTGGGTGTCCTTTACGGAAATCCCAAACAAATATTTCTGGGCTTCTTCATCCAGCATCGGGAAATCATAGTACATGCTGGAACCAGACACCTCACTCCAGCTTATTGGGCCCTAACATTTGTCAGGGAGTAAAAAGTTAATTATGCCATACAGTATAGAGATGTAAACATCTTCTCGACTTATGTTCTATGTGACTTATGACCATTTGCACATAAGACCACAAAAAAAATTTAAACAATTAAGTAGAAAATTAAAAAAAAGAGAATTACACATTTTACACAATAATATGTACAAAGACTGAATTTTTGTGTTTCATGCACACATTTTATAACCTGTCTGAATGGCTGGCAATATGGTTTAAAAACATAAAATGGACTCATGACAGTTTCACTGACAACTTGTTGGTTAGAACAGAAACTGGTCGTAAGTCAAGGAGATCCTGCATTAACATTTGCGTGGTAAGTCTCTCAGTACTAAGCAGTGCATCAGCTGCTACCTACTGATATGACTGACTTTCTTGTGCTGAATCCAGTTGTTACACTAACCTGATACACCCATGGTTAATTCAATTCTTCTGTCTCATGGTGTTACTATTTTAACTACTTCAGATTCCTGTGTGGGTTCTGGGGCCCCCTGTGGGAAAAATTAGAAAAGACTCACTGCCTTCCCAAAAAGTATGTCGAAAGTGTCACCTAATTTGGGGTTCATTCAAAATCGAAGTGCATCTGCCTGAGATGCAAGAAACCAACAATCTGCACACAGATAAGTCATATATGTAAAATGGATGTTCATGCAACACGCAGGTTCTGAAACAAGACTGAAGTTCAGAGGTGGACGAACAACCATAACTTTCCACTGGGGTTTACAGCCTGTGAACATGGGGGAAAGAAAATAAGAAGAAGAAGACTAATTCAGACCTGGGGCTTTGTTAATTAAAGTAACAACTCTTTAGGACATAACAAATTTAAGAAACACCCTGTCTGGGACTGAAAGGGTTAATATAATCTGATAAACATACACAGATACACGCATATATACAAACAGAAGTGATGCAGAGAGACAGATAATGTTTACAGGGGGAAGATGGAGACTTAAATAGGCAGGTGGTCACACAAACAGACAGAGTAGACAGCTACTTGAAGGAGATAATAAGCAAGGAGGGACCAAAAGCAATA